CTAAAGCTGGGGCTGGCGCTGGGGTGAGGTCGTTGTTCGAGGACTCTTTGTGGGTTTTTGCTGACGTTTTCAGCCGGCTGACATTGGCATTGACCGCAGCCGTGCTGTTGGTGCCGGGCAAGTGCGTCACATTTACTTCTTAGGGGGAAAAAGACACCGTTTTTCGCGGGGGCGAAAACTGATCTATTTGGCACAAGCCCAAGTGAACTCAGCACGCCAAATTGCGTGGAGGAAGGTCAGTGAGGGCGCGACTGCCTGACAGGGCTGCCTGCGGTTTTATTTGTGGCTTCTCGTTGGATGCGCCTGCAGAGGCAGCGGTGAGCCGGGCGGACGGAAAGACGTGGACGAAGACGTGGGCGGAGACGCGGGCGACGACCTGGGCGAAGGTAACCCGCCAATCTGGTCGGGGTTTAAAGTGCGCTCTGCGCTTAACGGCCTGGAGCTGTAGATTTCGAGAGTAGTTTCTAGGCGGAGCGGACCGCTTGGCTCTCCGACTCCGCTGTCGGTCGTCTGGCTCCCGTCTATAGTTCGCTGCCTGCGCCGTCTGCAGTCATGCGTTGCCGGCGCTGACGTATCAAGACGTGGCTTGATCAGCCATGGTGCTTTGTAACGCCTGTTTCCATCCGTTCATCCCGTTCCCCCGAGATCGCGTCCTTATAACACGGCATTCTGCTGGTCTCGCCCGGACTTCAGCCCCGTTGCCCTGACTCCGCGCTGAATCCGGCCCTGTCTGCTCTGACTTGGCCCTGAAGCCTGCCCTGACTGGCCCTGGAGCCTGCCTGTCCGTAGAGCCTGCCCGGACCGTCCCTGGAGTCTGCCTTGACCGTCCCAGAGGCTTGCACTGACCGTCCCTAGAGCCTGCCCTGACCGTCCCAGAAGCCTCCCCAGACCGTCCCTGGAGTCTGCCTTGACCATCCCAGAGGCCTGCACTGAACCGTCTCTAGAGCCTGCCCTGACTGTCCCAGGAGCCTGCACTGACCGTCCCCTGGAGCCTACCCTGACTGTCCCTGGAGCCTGTCCTGACCGTCCCTGAGACCTGCTCTGACGGTCCCAGGAGCCTGCCCGGACCGTCCCTAGACCCTGCCCTAACCGTCCCTGGAGCCTGCCTTCGCCGCCCGTGAAGACGCTGTGTCTCCCGCGCTTCTGCCCGTGATCTCGTCCTTTGCACTCCTGCCTCTCATCGGTGTTGCTCCCTTTGCCCTGCCTTTGCGCGTAACCATCGCCCTACAAAGGGCTCAAGGCCCCCCGAAGTTCCTCCGGAATTAGGTCTGAACGGATTTGAGCACGATGCTGGAATTTACTTAAGTCATTTGTACACATCTTGTGAAAGTTTAAGTCTCGCGACCTCGACGGCTCATGATCTATGTAAGACCTTTTTCTCAAGGTCATGGGGGTGACATTTTGCTCAAAAGCGACGAGTAACGCTTATTCCTCACAACAACTGCATGTTGAAATGTTTTATTCTTCTTATTTATATTACCCTGGTGTGTATTGTTGCCGTTTGGTAGCTTTGGAAAGCGTTAGGTCATTCGAGGTCAAGCTAGGCTGATTCTCGACCTTGGTGACCAAGGTCGAAAAAGCGCTTTAAGATCGTGCGATTTCAACTTGAATGGCACACACCTTACGGCTTGCGAAGGGTTTCTAATCTTATTCTTCCCGTTGATGTGGTTTGTTAAGTTCTTGATATAGCCTGAGGGGCCAACGTGACAATCTCCGTCACCCTTTTGACCTGGTGTCACGTCACGGACTACATTTGTCGGTGTTTACTAATGCCTATCGAAAATTCCAAGAGCTGTTCAACGCTGTTTTCCCTCGCTGTATCTTGTTTCGTCCTTGAGATAACAGAAATATATCTAAACCGATAACGTGACCCAATTGACCTGGATCCACCTGTCAAGGGTCACTTTGGCCATTGTTCTGACACCTCTCTGGTGGGGGTTGCGAGGAGCTTTGGAATACCGCTGTTTTTGGATGGCTCTTATTAGCTTAGTTTATTCTTAGATTGTAGGGAGGCCTCCGAGGCCCCTCCCCTCGTAGGGCAAACGGGAGAACCACCCGCAGGGCGAGGGTGGAGCCTGTTCTCTATCCCTCCCGAAAGCCCCTCTCTCTCATAGGCAAACGGAAAAACCTTCCCGTAGAGCGAGGCTGGAGCCTGTGCTCTGTTCTTTCCGAAACCGTCGCTGGGCCTGCTGCTGCTCCGTCCCGGCTGCAGTAGGTCGTTGCTTCGGTGGTTTTTGCTGCGGCGGGCGGTGTCTGGCGGCCGACCGATGATGGCACACGGCACCGGTTTTTGTTGGGGGCGTCGATGGCCTGGCCGGATCGCAGCGCCGCCCCACGACCGCCATCTGACAGCCCCCCCCCCCCCCCCCCCCACCCACCCCACCCACCTGCACGCTGGTGGTTTGTGGTCGGGTGTGAGGCTACGGAGGAGGCGAGGGAAACAATCGGGGATTTTTCTCCGAACATTTCGCGTGGGAGGGGACGGGAGGTGTATTTTCTCACCGAATTATGTTCCATGGTGATGTGCGGTTTGTGAGCCCCGTCCCACCAGGCACCCAACCCCACACTACACACACATTTGCGCCTGTTCGTCCTGATCGCCCCCCCCCCCCCCGCCCATCCCCCCGGGCCGAACAAGCGGGGTCCGGCTCTTCGCCGTCGGTGCACGACTATTGACGTTGATCGATTTCGCCCGCGTCAAAAGCCCGTAGCCAGCTCTGGCTCTGCGCAAGGTTGGCACGATGTGGGAGTTAAGCCCCGGCGCGCCTGATAGGGGGCCGCTGCTGACAGGGGCCGGGGGGCTCTGCTGACGGGGGCCGGGGGGCTCTGCCGACGGCGGCCAACAGTGGCGCGGGTGGCGGCTGACCGGTGAGCCCGCCCGCTCGCGAGCGCGGCGAGTATCGCCTGGAGAGGAGCGCTCGGTGGAGGCGGGCTGGGACGTGCGGCGAATGTGGAAGGGAGCTCGGCCTGGCTGTTGGATGCGCCAAACGTGATGTGCATGTGATATCGACTCGGGTGGCCCAGCACTTTTCCCCGAGGTCTAGTTCTCGTTTGTGCCAGCAGTCCTGGTTGTTTGTTGGCCCTGTGGTTTACTCTGATAGTTATGGGAATGGCCCGGACGTGCACATCTCCTGCGATGAGTTCGTTTCCAGCGCATTGAAACCCATGGCTGCCCTTCTACAGGCGCCAACATCACGAATCACTGCAGGCTCCGGCGGCATTTCGGAGAAGAAGCCTCGGGCGCATCTTTTACCATCTCGTTCAAGGACGAAATGTCAGACACTTGTATGGGCAGGACCCCTCCCCCTCGACTTCCCTCCATGTTTCTGAGGCATTGGACGTTGGGTATCGAGTACCAATGACATTGAGTTTTCTGCCTGCTGTCTACACACAATTGACCGGAGAAGTGTGATGGGTGGTGTGAGAATTAGATGAAAACAGTGTGATGCACTGTTGGCACCCCAGTAGTGGGTAAATATATAATTATGACATTTATCGTTATAATATATAGTCATAATAAACATTCGTCTGGCGGTCTTGTAAGGATTATTTTCTCAATGCTTCCTTAAGAGCGCATGCTCTGAGCGGCCCACAATACCAGCGTGATGGCAGCGCGGTCCACGGCTGATCGGGCTGTGGTCGGGCTGTAATGGGGCTGTGATCGGGCCGTAGTCAGGCCGTGGTCGGGCCGTACTCAGACTGTAATCGGCGCTCGAGGGATCGCAGGTTAGACACTCGAGGCTGCCTTGTCACGGCTATCGGCCAGAACTTGCGGCTTGGCTCGGTGCGAAACATCTTGTGGCCTGTAGGGCATGAGCGTTGCTGTCAACGAATGCCCCTCTAACGTCATCGCTGTACCGCAGGACAGAGATGGAGCGCGCTGCCTCCGCTCAGGTGGACGGAGTGGCCACCCAGGTGGACGTGGTGGATAGTCACATGGAGACGGTGGACAGCGTACCAATCGACGCGGAGGTGGCGCCCGTCAGCGGCTGGCTGCGGCGATGCCGCCGATGCCGGCATGTTCGGATTCGGGTGAGCCTACCAGCGCTGGCATGGGTTCGTGTTCGGGTTCGGGTTCGGGTGAGCCTACCAGCGCTGACAAGGGTTTGTGTTCGGGTTCGGGTGAGCCTACCAGCGCTGGCATGGGTTCGTATTCGGGTTCGGTTCGGGTGAGCCTACCAGCGCTGGGAAGGTTTCATGTTCGGGATCGGGAGAGCCTACCATCGCTGGCAAGAGTTCGTGTTCGGGTTCGGGTGAGCCTACCAGCGCTGACAAGTTTCGTGTTCGGCTTCGGGTGAGCCTGCCAGCGCCGGCAAGGGTCGGCCTGCTGCCCAATGGTTGATTGGCTGAGACCGAGGGACGTGCAGTGAAGGCAGTGATCGCGAGGGTATTGGACAGACATTTTGGTTCTCGATCGCCGCTCGTGTTTTGTTCAGAAGTCATGTCTGCATTGAGGGACTGGGACGAACAGCGCTTGAGACCTCGCACAGGATGGCGAGAGGGCCCTGATACCATGCCTTGCAGCTTACGTTGGCCGATGATGCGTGCATTAGTTACAACACTCGGCACGCTGGCGCAACACAACAGTGTTACAACACTCGGCACGCTGGCGCAACACAACAATGTTACAACACTCGGCACGCTGGCGCAATACAACAATGTTGCAACACTCGGCACGCTGGCGCAATACAACAATGTTGCAACACTCGGCACGCTGGCGCAACACATCCATGTCCTAGCACTGAGCGACAGCTTGTGTGCGTATCGAGAAAGTGCTTAATGTCTAAAGCGCGTTCTCCGAAGCGGAAGCCATGAGCGGGAAAGGGAACAACTGTAGTCAGTGCGTGGGGCCACTCAAAATCGTCACCAAATTGTGTTTGGTTCGATCTTACTTGCAGGCAGCCGCCCACGGTCCGTGTTCACTGCATGCGTTGTCTCTGGGTGCCGTCACAGCGAACCGTGTGTATGTTGTCCAGCCGTCGCAGCCTATCGCTGTAGCGCGCGCCCCGACCTCCAAGGACTCGTTCCTATACAACATGGAGCACGTGCGGCGGGGTCGGGCCGTCATCTTCAACCACCGCGACTTCCACCCGGAGCAGCAGATGAAGGTGAGTCTATAGACCTCACATCCCACCCGGAGCAGCAGACGAAGGTGGGTCTCTGGACCTCACATCCCACCGGGAGCAGCAGATGGAGGTGGGTCTCTGGACCTCACATCCCCACCCGGAGCAGCAGATGGAGGTGGGTCTCTGGACCTCACATCCCACCCGGAGCAACAGATGAAGGCGAGTCTCTGGGCCTTACACCCCACCCGGGGCAGCAGATAAGGTGGGTCTCTGGGCCTTACATCCCACCCGGACAGCAGATGAAGGTGAGTCCTCTGGACTTCACATCCCACCCGGAAGCAGCAGATGGAGGTGAGCCCCTGGATCTCACATCTCAACCCGGAGCAGCGGATTAAGGCGGTCTTTCGTCACCGTATATAGGGTCATGTCATATTCAGGGCCCTATGTCTTCATCATTTCATCGCTCCCTTGTGTGGGAACAGCCGCATGGTTGAATGTAGCCAATCTCGTTCTCATATTGGTATGATGCTACCTACCATTGCATGCCTGACTAATATTTTCGTGTCGACGCGCATGTGCATGATATTCACGAATGGCGAGTTATATGAGCACGTGTTTTTCAAGCAGGCGTATCATTTCCTTCCCCGTGACTTATAGCGTCATTGTGTTACCACACCGGCGATGTTGGTGCTCCGGTGTCGGCGCGTGACGCGTTATGTGACGTCATGCAGATGCGGAACGGCACGGACGTGGACCGCGACGCGCTGGCGGGGGTCCTGCGCGACCTCGACTTCGAAGTCACCGTGTACAACGACCTGCGCAAGTCGGAGCTGTTCGCCGTGCTGGACAAACGTGAGTGTGGATGGGTCGGCGCCGGGCCGGGAAAGGGGGGCCGGGAAGGGGGGGGGAGGGGAGGCGGCGGGGCTCGCCGGGCCGCCGCGGCGTCGGCTCGGCGCTGAGACGAGGATGTCAGGAGGGCGTGTGGCGCGCGGCCCGGAGCCGGCCGATGCGGCGGTCCGCGGCGCGCCTATCTTATCCTGTCGGCGACCGGAGACCGTGTGAATCACAGCACACTGCGAGGCGGCGCCCACCGCAGCCGCGGAGGGATGACGGGTCGGCCTGGCCACGGCCAGGTCACGGGCCGATCAAAGCCCGATCACGGCCCAATCACCGCCCGATCACGACCCGATCATTGCCTGATCACGGCCCAATGACCACCCGATCACGGCCCGATCACTGCCCGATCAAAGCCCGATCACGGCCCAATCACCGCCCGATCACGGCCTGACTACAGCTCGATCACAACCCGATCACGGCCCGACCATGGCCCGATCACCTGCCCGATCGCGGCCTGAATTACAGCCCGATCACGGCCAGACCATGGCCCGATCACGGCCAGGTCACGGCCCGATCACGGCCCTACCATGGCCCGATCACGGCCAGGTCACATCCCTATCACGGCTCGCTCGTCAGAAATCACAGCCCGATCACAGGTAATTACTGCCCGATATATATCTTTCAAGGGTGGACAGGCAGCGATTTGTACTGGCGTCGGACTCATGGCCCGATTCCTTCAGTGATTCATTGGTCACGGGAAAATGCAGTTCAGATTGAAGATCTTGAGGTTAGCTTAAAGACATTAGTTCCACTTTTATATTGGGTTTTGAACTGAAATAGCAATATTGAAGACCTTTCGGTGCTGTTCACAATTCTGTCATTCTTAAGACCTAAGGCCCTCTAGTTTTTGAGCTACATCCCTGCGAAGATACGGAAAGATATATCGAAGAAGGCATTTTATAGTCACATTGGCATTTATGACGTCGTAATAACATCATTCAACTTCTGTTATTCCAGAACCCATGCGGTGATCAAGGCTAGGACAAATATAATTGTCAATGCGTTCATACTTGACGTTCGTGGGCGCGATTTCCAGACGTAACGGCCGTCAATTGGCTCCGAATCAATGCTGTGCGAGGTACGATGACGTGCTCAAACAATGGCGCATTGAGGAGCATACTTAATAAACGGAGAATTGTGCCGTCTAGACCAGTCTCCACTTCAGAAATATGCCAAATAAGTGAGCTAGTTTCGCCATATCTGATGCTGGCTTCAATGTCTGGACATGCGAAACATTTTTTGAAGTTAAACTGGGTACTTTCGACATAGTGCATAATTGCACCACCTTAGCTTATTAAAATGTTACTCGCTTCAGCGTTAAGGACAGGCATGCGCTCTGTAGGACGCTCCGGGACCCCTAGCTCCCCGTACTCTGACCATGTTTGTGATCAGTTGACAACGTCTGCGATCAATTGACGGTGTGTGCGATCAGTTGACAACGTCTGCGATCAATTGACGGTGTGTGCGATCAGTTGACAACGTCTGCGATCAATTGACAGCGTGTGCGATCAGTCTGACGTCCGTGACCAGTCTGGGTGTCAGACGGCAACTGTCCTGTCGCCACTAGCGTACCCCCGTTTCCAGCTGTCTACACGGAGAGCTAGGTAGCGGTGCCACCGCTGACAGTCCCTTCATTTTTCCAGTGTCCACCGAGGACCACAACGACGCCGACTGCATAGTGGTCTGCTTCCTCTCCCACGGCGACAGTGGCGTGCTCTACACCTACGACGAGATCCTCAAGTCGGACCAGCTCTGGGCCCGCTTCACCGCCGACCGCTGCCCGTCGCTGGCCGGCAAACCCAAGATCTTTTTCGTTCAGGTGCTTGTCTGAGTTAGGTCGGGCTCCAGAGAAGATTGCTTGTGTTCGAGCGCAGCTGGACCATAGCCGGTCCATTTAGCCGGACATAGCTGGGCCATTTGGGCCATGGCTAGCTGGTGCACATATCCGCATCACGCATGCTACATTTTTCTGGATTCCTCGTGGACGTGTGACGGGGGAGGGGGAGGGCAAAAAGCGTGGGATAAGTAAGTTTGGAAGTAAGTGATGCCCACAGTTTATTTGACTGATGTGAAATGTTGTGCCCTCTCATTATACGTTGATGATTTCCAGTATACACAGTACGGGCGTGGATTATAGTTTGATTTATGTGGGACCCTCGAGCTTTCGAAACTGAACTGTCGGCTGACCATGATACTGTGGAAATGTGAGTGTACCATCGCACAAATGCTGCACATACAGAGCACATGTGGTCTAAATTGTTGTGCATGTCAGCCAGATCTGAACAGAATCGTGGCGGGGTTTGTGCCCGTGCGTGTTTGGGAGCCCATGCGGGCACCACTGGCGCGTCACCGGACGCTCGGTGGTGACGGCCGGCCGTGGCACCCGCCCGTGTCACCAGGCGTGCCAAGGGGACCAGCTGGACGGTGGCACGACGCTGGTGCCGCGCCGCACCGCCACCGACGGCGACGTGGTCTCCTACAAGATCCCGACCCACGCCGACTTTCTGCTGTGCTTCTCCACCGTGCCCGGGTACTACTCGTGGCGCAACACCACCAACGGCTCGTGGTTCGTGCAGGCGCTGGCCGCCTGCCTGCGCCAGTACGGCCGCACCACCGACCTGCTTACCGTGATGACCCGCGTCAACCGCATGGTGGCCACCGACTTCCAGTCCAACTGCCCCGGTGAGAGAGGCGGCACGATCGGCTGAAGAATCTGTGTGTCCCGACGCTGTCAACAGCCGGGAAGCTCAGGGTCAGCTGTGCCGGTTGAGCGTCAGGCCCTATAACAGGGTTGGGCGGGTTTATATGCTAGGCATCCTCCTCGTGCTGTGTATCTATTGGGCTCTGCCATGGGACAAAACGTGCTGTGTATTGGTTGGCCTCCTCCATAGGAAATAGCGTGCTGTGTATCATTGGACTCTGCCATGGGGCAAAATACTGATGGCGACACTGTGTATACGCTTCATCAGAATGTAGACGAACTTGCTGGTTTGCGTGAATGTGGAACAGGATAGAGCCACTGGCTCAGGTCGGGCAGGCTGGTTACGTCGTGACTGGCTCGGGCTCAGTGCGGGCTCGAGGTAAGCCGTTTTATTTGTGCCGAAAGAAGGCCTCCGTGATCCGTCGTCAGGGGCTCACTGCCGGCGGTGGGACGGGGACATCAGGGACGCACTGCCGACCGTAACACCGGCGTCCTCCGCAGGCGATCCCGGCATGCACCAGCGCAAGCAGATCCCCTGCATCAGCTCCATGCTGACCCGAGACGTCATCTTCAGCGCCAAGACGGGCCGGCGCTAAGAGGCGTGCCGGAGGCTCTGGCCGCCGAGCCGACAGGGCGGGTCAGCTGTGCCGGCCGAGCGGGTCAGCTGTGCCGACACAGCGGGTCAGCTGTGTCAGCGCTGCAGATGGGGATTGGTGGAGGAGCATTCAAGGGAGGCTCGGCTCGGACGCCTCAGGTCGTCGGCTCACCAGCGACCCGCACCGGCCTGCGGACGGCAGTCGATGGGCGCGGCGGAACGGCTCGGTACACGTGCGCAGCCGTCCGGGCCGTGTGTCGTGACGTCACTCAGCGGCTGGTGTGACGTCAGGGACCGGCGTGCTGTGACTGGTGTGTCGTTTGGTGCCGGTGTGTTGTGACGTCACTCGGCGGCTGGTGTGACGTCAGGGAGCGGCGTGTTGTGACTGGTGTATCGTTTGGTGCCGGCGTGTTGTGATGTCACTCGGCGACTCGTGTGACGTCAGGGGCTGTGCGGGGGTGGGAGTGTGGTGCGCACTGCATTCACTGCGGCTCTGGCTGCCACTCACCAGCCATTACCGGCTCGGCACTCGGGGACACGGCCAGCACGTGCGTGACGCTGTATCTGCGCCTGCGTCTTCGAAACCCGGTCTCAGACCCGCACCGAGTCGAGGGAATCTGTGAAGTCTTTGAAGCGCATTTTGTTGTCCGGCTGCTGATCTGCCTTGTGATGATGTGGGTGATCTGATCTGTGCTGATTTGTCTCCTCTGGTCCGCTATCCTGACCGTATCGGACAGTCGCAGCTGTCGGATACGGTCGGTGTCGAATCTGTCAGATCGTTAATCGTAACGATTCCCAGGGTCTTAGTAATTTGCCGAGGTCACACGACGTTATGAGATTTTCCGAGGTTTCGCCACAGAGTGTAGAAGCCAGGGGTTGCCGAGATAGCGTATCGGTACTCTATAAGTTTAGTAAATCTTGGAGATACCGGAACCGGAGATAACAGTCGTGATTCCTCCAAAAACCAATAGTTAAATGCTTTGTCCTGTTGTTTTCCGGTTTCTGTACTGACCTAAAGTTGTCTCCATAATATGTTGCTATTTTTGGTATATGTGAGGTTAGCGCCTGGGTGTGAACAGAAATTCTACAAGTACAACTTGTGTAATACATTTTTCGCTTATAGGACTACGAATCGTGGCCGCAATTGATGTATGCATCCCAAACTCATGGTTCAAAACCGTCCACGTGCATTTCACAGCACCTCCAAACCTTACACTCAGCTAGCTAGCCCCAGTGATCAAGCTGGCTAAAGGGAAAATATTATTCCCTTAAAGCTTTCTTGTTCGGTGCATTGGAACCAACTAGACATTGGATGGTTCGCCTTCTAATTGCCTTTCATGCAATCGTGATCGTGTCTCATCTTGATGGTGCAAATCAAAAAGTACATGATTTAGGATGCATATTCTGCCACAGACTCATGGTGGTGCCATAATGGATGCTCAACAACTCAACAAGCTCGGGGCCCCTGAACGCAGGACGGGACAGGCGTGATCTCGATAGCAGGCATCAGCCATAACCACTCACAGATGCGGTTTTCAGCCCTGCACAACATGCGTTAGTGTTAGATACATCACGCCGCCCGTGATGTTGAGGCCGTCTCGGTGGTACGCTCCTGCGGCGAGCAGTTTTGTCTTAGTTGTCCGGCCGGCCGACTCCGTTCGTTTGTGTTCAGTCGCGTCGGTGATGCGTTCACCGGTTGTTCCGTTTGTCCAGTACTCTCCTCAGTCGTGACGCTGGCTCTGTGCGGCATCACAGTCATTGCATTGCCCACATTCCCGTCCTGGTGACCAGTCACCCCGCTGTCCCTGTAGGGAGCGCTTCGCAAATGTCTGACCATATCGATCTGTCTTCGTGTCAGGCTCTCCGCGATCTTGCGGCTCAATTGTGGTAATTGCCCGTGCATTCTTTCGAGACAGTCTTTCTGGTAGTACGTAAGTGGACGGATAGTTCCCGGGTAGGGTTATAGAAATGCGCGCATGTTTCCCCTCCACGCACCGTTTGTGGACTGTTGAGACCCGTTCAGAGTGCCTGTCAGGTAGTTCGGTATCTAGATACTTACCACATGCCGTCTGTCGCAAGTCATCACGATTAAAAGCTAGCAATAATCCCACTTGCCTTGGCAAGTGCCGTTGCCGTGGCGGAACCGGCGACGCGTCATGTGCGCTTGTGAAACACCTGCTCGTGGTTTGAAATACAGCCGTAATGCTTCGGAGGCTCGCTAGTTGTGTGCCTGAGGGTGCCGCCGAGATTCAGCTGCCGCCGTGCGCGGTTCGACACCTGGCTGATCTGGCGGCTGACTGGGTGGCGTCAGTAGCGCAGGCAGGGCGGGGGGGGGGGCACAGGGGCACGTGCCACGCTCCCCCCTGGGTTCCGAGGGGCCGTTCGGGCCTTTGTGAACCTGCGAGTAAGGGCCCGGTTTGAGGGCCCGAAAGGCCGGCCGGGGTCGCATTCAGCGGCCCCGGCCGCAGGTCTAGGTACTCCAATGCCAGCCAGAGGGTCCTGTCCACTGATCAGGGACGCCCTGAGTCGATAAGGGTCCATGTGTCGGCCAGACGCCGGTAGCAACGCAAAGTCGTCTCCGTGGTCGCATGGGCCTGAAGGCCCATTTCCCAGACAGAAACAAAGCCGGCGCCAGCGGTTTACATTGTCGAGGTCCCACAGCCAGTAATGGGGGCCTAATGCCAACTAGTGTTGGCAATGAACCTCGAGTCGGCCAGAGGTAGTGTTGGAGGAGGCCCGAATACTCTGGAGGGCCCACCGGGTCCGACGATGAGGGGCTCGCTTGGAGGGCCTAGGGGCACGAAGGGCTGGTCGGAGTCTTAGTTATGGGCCCGGCTTGCAGGAATAGGCCCTCAAATAACGATCAGAGGACCATTTGCGCCGATCGGGGACCCCTGAGTCGATATAGGCCCATATGTCAGTCAGGCACCACCAGTATCGCACAGTTGATATGGCCTGAGGGCCCAGTTCCCAATAAACTATAAAGCCGGGGCCAGTGATTTACACTGGCCAGGGGCCTTGTATCTGTCTGGGGCCCACAACGTCCAACAGATGCCCCTCTGCTCGCAAGGATCTCGAGCCGACCATAGTAAATTTTCGATGAAGCCAAGCTGTGACGAAGAACACGGGCGAAGCCGTGGTCGTCGCCAGTGACGTCATAAATCAGGTGGGAGCCCAGCGAACAAAACTCCGTCAGCACTTAAAACTGATTTACTTTCGGGTTAGAGCGAAACCATGCGCATTTCATAACTTTATTGCAGAGTTTTTAGACAGCATTCAAAGGTGGCCTGCTCCATGGCGGTTGATGGATGGTTGATTGATATGACGCTCACGGATGGTATTGAAAGACGACAGACCCACGCTGACGTTGCGAACGGCCCGGCGAACGAAAACTTAATGCTTGTATCTGCACGTGTATTTGGAGCTCGTCAGCGCTGTTGCGGTGGTGAGCACGGACTTAACCGTGCCTGCAGTAAGACTGCTCCATCCTTTCTGTGGTGAGTGCGACCATGGGCGGCTCACGCCACCGACAGGTCATGGGAAAAACACCGGAATGCCGAAATCAGTCGGCAGCGGCTATGTGTCTGACCAACACCGCGACCGGATATAACCGGACGTACCCGGCCTCTTGCTGCGTGTCGAGACATAACGATTGCAGAGTTGTTTTCTAATTTGTAGAATCGCGTTTGTTCTGTTTGGCCACCTCGCGAGACCGCCTCCAAAGCCTGCGCACCTGCAGCTAGTCCGTCCGCCCCAACCGTCATCCAGCCATAACGTGTACCACAGCGGCCGGCGCTCCCATTGGTCGGCTGATTCGAGGACTAGTCACCACTGGACGGCTGGTTCGGCGCCGGGCTTCTACTGGCCAAACGGTCCAGAACCGGGCCGTCACTGGCTGCCGACTGCGACAAAGCGCTGCTGTGGGTTGTCCGGCCCAGGCTGGACGACTATTGTGTTGGCCAAGGTCGGGTCATTGGTTGTCCGATTCGATGGCTGGTGGCCATTGGTCGTACGTTGTCTGCTTGGATGTTGCCATTGGTTGCCAGCTTCTAACAGCCCTGGCTGGCTGGAAGTTTCAGGGTCGATCATCACCGTAGGCTCTATGAACGTCCAGACCAAGGCCGCCGTTTGTTGCCGGCACGCTGCGCTGTAATATGAGACGCTCGGTAGGCGGCGCTGCCCGCGGCAAGCCTGCTCTGCCATAGGGTCGGCCGTTGCCTCCACCCAGTGTGAGCCAAGAGCGACTAACAGAGCAGCGCAAACTGATGACGCTTGTTTGGTTACCGTGTAGCCTGTATGCAATCAGTTTCCAGCGCACGTAAAACGACAATGAACACGTCGTCCCAACTTGTACAAGCCACGTGTATTCAGTTCCTGACAGTACACGGATATCAGGTGTGCATGAATCGACCTGGAGCGGCCACTGATATACAGACGAGAGGCCAACATTCATCTGCAGTCCTATCCACACATTGAGCTACTGAGCCCTGTTAGCCCATGTGCCCCATGAGTACAGAACGAAGCCCCAGGAATGGTCTCTGAAGCAGCTGCCTGCGGCCTCAAACCCTGAGGCTGCAGATGCAGCCGATTGTCAACAGCCAGAACAGACGCGCTCACGTACAAAACACCCAGACTGTGCGCGGCGGCACCACACACCCGCGCGCCGCATCCCTCCATCAATCACATCACCGTCTGAGAGGCCGGCGCGGTCCAGAGCGGCAGTACCTCGCACCCGCGCACCGCACCCCTCTCAAGGTCACATCACTGCCTGAGAGAGGTCGGCGCGGTCCCAAGAGGCAGCACCCCGCACCCGCACCCCTCCCACTGCCACATCACCCCATCTGAGAGGCCGGCGCGGTCCCGAGCCAGCGCGGCCGCGGTCGCCCCCCCCCCCCCCCCCCCCACCTCTCCAACTGCTGCAGCCGCCGTCAGCTGGCAGCGAGTCGCGCGGCGCAGCCGGTCTGAGCGCCGCCCGAGCAGAGCCGTCCGGCTCACTTCTTGGGCTTGAAGTCGTCCTTCTCGCGGCGCAGCGCGGCCATGGTCGGCACAGGCTCCGAGGTGCCGGCGTGTGCCTGCACCGACGCCTCGTGCACACGACAGAACGGGTTGATCAGCTTCTCCAGCGCTGAAAAGGTGGCGACGCGTTCGTCGTACGGCACGCGACTTCGACGCGCCGTTTACCGTCCGCACGGAACAGGCCAAACGCTTCAGAGAATGGGTCACAGTGAGGTCTCAGCGGTTTGTAACATCGTGATGCACGTGTGCAACGCCTAGTTCTGCTTTCCCATTTCGGAGTTTGGACGCAGTCTGGACCTTCTGGCTTGCCACCTCTGCTCGAGTCAATCCATTGCTATGCCAGGCGAGAAAAACATATTATGAGGCATGCCGGGTTACAGCTACCAGTGGGTAGTTGTCAATAGGGCACATAGATGACCTTTCCAAGGCGCACCGGCTTCAGCCTGTATGCACGTTAGTTAACACGTCACAATGGAGTCCCGTATGCATGCATCAGCGATCGAGCCGGCATGGACAAAGTTATGCGCCGCAAGTGTCTAAAGAGCCGTCAAGGGTCATCTCGGCGCAGCAGTCTGCAGGTCAGGTCAGGTTCCGTCGCCAACGTCTGAGGAGCCGCAGCACCGATCACAATAAGGCAGGGCGTTGAGAGCACTCATGCTTTTGTGTCGGAAAACAAGAATAACCTCATGCTCATAATGTAACGAACTGGTTCAAACACGTGTGTAGGTCTTCCTCAGCACACGTACAAAAAAGAGCACAGAACATGGAAGAAGAAGAACACTACAAAAGGTGTCAAACGCTGACCTCGGTCGTCGTTATTGTAATTAACTTTACTGGACAAATATTGAATTACGAAATGGTGACGACAAAACAGAGGCGGGCTTTAAAAGTGTCAACGAATAAGTCATGGCGTTCAGTGTGGGCCTGCGGTTTCTTATTGAAAACGAGTCTGCGATTTTTCATTCAGCAGGGTCTTTATAAACTTGGAGGACAGTTTTTTAAGATAACGCCTCCCAAGAACGGCGTATGATGCTTCTCGAAATGTTCTTCTGCACCATGTTTGATGTTTGAATAAAATGCTCGCTTTATTTGCGTGCAGTATGAAATGTTAGCATCTGATACACAGATATATACATCTATTATATATATATATATATATATATATATATATATATATATATATATATATATATATAAGCTATGGACCAATATATTGCATTATAAGCACAAGCTTACTTCTATCTCCCACTACTTGCACCACAATGCAACTGATTCAATTCGCATCATGTACTATTTGATTGAGAATAAAGCGGCGAATGAGAAAAAAACAGGGCAGTTTTCTGGTTGTTTGGTTGTTTGGATTAGAGCCCTTTCGACCAGAAATGATCATTTCAGGACTCTGTAATGGGGGAAAGTGGTTAACGGTGGGGCAGACTGGCATGCGCCTGGGGGACCAACCGACGGGCTTTTACCCGCGCTTGCGCGCTGGGGTAAAAGTTATTTTACCCGGTCGGGGTCCCCCTTCCCACAGGGCTCTCGGCCCGCTCGTGGCTGACGCATGCAGCCTGTCTCGGACGAGCAGGGTGTCGCGCGGACGCGGGACGAAGCGAGATAGGGGATAAGAGAGACGGATGTGATAGGGCAGGTTCAACGATTAGCCACGTGGCGCTTAACCAAGGGGCCGTGCGTCACAACCGATGTCACTGTATGATATAAACACATGGAGATGCTTCCTTGATTAACACGCTATGCACAGGACAGAAAAAAGTTAAGTATAAATGGATTGGGAAGCCACACAAAAGGCGCACTTTGAAAAACGGAAGTCAAGACAAAAAAGACTCGACGCCAGAATTAGAGCAGCGCACGAGTGCCACCTACCGATCGTGGACGGCACTGTGGGTTCTTCCTTCTCCCGCTGGGATCGCGCCCAGTCCACTCGGCTTTTGATGTCCTCGTTATTAGGCTCCACGTGTTGCGCGAACTTCAGGTTCTGCAGGGTGTACTCATGACCGCAGAACACTTGCTGTCGACAGCACACGACCAACGGTTGGTAAATGAGCCTGTTCTGATGAGTAAGTTCAGAGTCATCTTCCCTGGCTATTCCGCAAACTTACACTGTGTGGTCTGCGTTTATGCTCCATCAACGGCGAAACAGCGTAACTTATCGAAAAGAAAATGACATCCAGGGGGCCATACCGATGAAGGTGACAAACTCCACAAGCGATGTGCCTCACTAACCGCTCCCCCGCCCCCAAAAAACATAGTTGCCTTTTCAAACGGGATTCAAGCTCGTGTCCTTCGTTCGACCACGACGTCCACCAGCCTTCACACCCGCATCGAGCCCCTGCACTGCTGGACCTGAAGCTCTCCTGACCAGAGGCAAGCTCGAAAATACCACCTGTCAACAGCCACCAAACAAAAACGACGGACCAAAACCAACAGCGTACACGTGAGCACACATTACAGGCACTTGATCTGTGTCGATCTATGGCCCCTCACGTGTCTAGCCCCACCCTCCCCGCCAGCGGAGCCCGGACAGTACCGGTACCGGTACCCGCAGTGTAATACACATACCGTCTCTCCGGGCAGGCTGCCGAGCGTCTCCACCAGAGCCGCGTACATCTGGTCGGCGGTGCCCTCGAAAAAGCGACCGCAACCCCCCTGGAACAGCGTGTCCCCTGCGGCGGAGGAGCAGAGTCAGTCGCTCACGGGCGCAGCGTGGTGGACAAGCGGCTCACAACATAGAGAAGCATACGTGTACTGCGAGGCGTGATTGCACGAACCTGTGAAGACGGCAGGAGGCTGTCCGTCGTCGCCCTTGACGAAGAAGCAGATGTGGCCGCTGGTGTGGCACGGCGTGAACAGGCACTCGATCTGTGGACACGGCGGGAGCCATCTGTCACAACACGGCGTGAACAGGCACTCGATCTGTGGACACGGCGGGAGCCATCTGTCACAACACAGCGTGAACAGGCACTCGATCTGTGGACACGGCGGGAGCCATCTGTCACAACACGGCGTGAACAGGCACTCGATCTGTGGACACGGCGGGAGCTAATCTGTCACAACACGGCGTGAACAGGCACTCGATCTGTGGACGCGGCGGGAGCTAATCTGTCACAACACGGCGTGAACAGGTACTCGATCTGTGAACACGGCGGGAGCTAATCTGTCACAACACGGCGTGAACAGGTACTCGATCTGTGGACACGGCGGGAGCTAATCTGTCACAACACGGCGTGAACAGGTACTCGATCTGTGGACACGGCGAGAGCTTATGTTACATCATCCACATCGCACGCGCCAGAAACCCAAGCCCTGTTCAGCTGGGAATGGCAGCTGCAGTGGCCTGCTGACCCGACCTGTTGCCGGTGTCACAGGCCTATGAGCTGACGTCACAGAAGGCCGTCAATCCTCTGCCGCAGTAGAAGTAACTGAGGCTGTCACGTTCACATAACGCCTATTACTTATGTCCTGATCAAAGTCGCTTAATAATAGCAACTATTTGGCGCGAACCATTTGAGTCGATATATATATATATATATATATATATATATATATATATATATATATATATATATATCGAAAGAAGTCAGCAAGCAAAAGAAGTCTGAAGAGGTGTTTGATGCGTACTGAGTCATTGCCACGTGAATTATTTAAGAGCGTGAGAGACGGCGCAGTCCGACCGAAATATCAGACGTTCAGCACGTAATGCGGGACAAGAGCGGAGCACGTGACGCACAGTAAGCGTCGTGTAACATTGCCGACACCGAGGTGGTTCATCGCGACGCACAGAGTATCTATGGGTGGCGTAAGTGTGGCTGACCCGTGAACGACCTAGCATGACTTCCACCCGTCTTGAATTCCGATAAAATGCCTGCCTTTCCTGGATACCCGGTGTCATAATTTTCAGTTTGTTGGTGCTCGCCGCACCTCGTGAGCTCTGTCATCGGCTTCGTAGAAGGACGATATATCCGCGGCAGGTAGAACCTCGGCCGAGTTAACTCACCCACGACATGAAAATCAGGCTCAGTGACCTGACCTCATAGGACACCCAGTTCGCTGACCTAACGCCATCAAAACACTCGGCTCGGCGATCTGACCCCCAGACCCGGGCCCCACGACCTGACCTGGAGACTGCCGACGGGAGCGTGTCGTCGTGACCTGACCTGACCTGACCTGGAGACTGCCAACGGGAGCGTGTCGCCGTGACCTGACCTGGAGAGTGCCGACGGGAGCGTGTCTCCGTGGTCTGACCTGGAGACTACCGACGGTGAGTGTGTCGCCGTGACCTGACCTGGAGACTACCGACGGTGAGCGTGTCTCCGTGGTCTGACCTGGAGACTACCGACGGTGAGTGTGTCGCCGTGACCTGACCTGGAGACTAGCGACGGTGAGCGTGTCTCCGTGGTCTGACCTGGAGGCTGCCGACGGTGAGTGTCTCCGTGGTCTGACCCGGAGACTACCGACGGTGAGCGTCTCTCCGTGGTCTGACCTGGAGACTGCCGACGGTGAGCGTGTTTCCGTGGTCTGACCTGGAGACTGCCGCGGTGAGTGTGTCGCCGTGGTCTGACCCGGAGACTACCGACGGTGAGCGTGTCTCCGTGGTCTGACCTGGAGACTGCCGACGGTGAGCGTGTCTCCGTGGTCTGACCTGGAGACTGCCGACGGTGAGCGTGTCTCCGTGACCTGACCTGACCTTGAGACTGCCGACGGTGAGTTTGTCTCCGTGACCGACGCGGCGAGTGAGGGCGCCGATCCTGTCGTCGCCGCCCAGCACGGCCAGCCGGCCTCGTGCGAGGCCAGCTTCTCATTGCCGCCGGCGTGGTCCCTGTGGGGCGACGGACGGTGACGGTAGCGGGCGAGCGCCGAGCGGCGGCGGGCTCGGTCGGGTGGGTGGCGCCATCTCCCCGAGCGGACAGCGGGAGGGCGCCGAGCGGCCGCGGGCTCGGTTGGGTGGGTGGCGCCCTCTCCCCGAGCGGACAGCGGGAGGGCGCCGACAGGCGGCGGGCTCGGTCAGGTGGGTGGCGCCCTCTCCCCGAGCGGCCAGCGGGAGGGCGCCGACTGGCGGCGGGTTCGGTCAGGCGGGTGGCGCCATCTCCCCGAGTCAGTGGGTTAGCACGGCTCCCAGACGGCGGCCCGGCCAGCCGACATCACCCCGCCTGAGTCCTGCTACCTGAGGTCCACCCTTAGACAGATTGGAGCGCGCGGCAGTGCCTCGTGGCCGTGGCTATGCGCGTCAAGCCCGCTCTGGCTCTCTTAGTGCGCACACTGCAGATATCACGCGACTTATACGCTGTCACTGCTACAGCATGCTTCCAGGTGTTGGTAACGACAAAATGGCAAGTGGCAAAGGGCAGACTTGCCCCGGGGGCAGGGCAGTGCCCCAGTAGGGCCACCGGGGACGCCCGGGACAGCGAGGCGACACTCGGCAGGGCTAGTGGGGATGCCGTGGCATCGCTGCCAGTGGCGGGATGGTCGCCACGGGCGGTGCGCTCACTCACCAGTGGTGGTGTGTGGTGAGCACGGTAGTCAGCTGAACGCCCTCCTCTTTGACAGCCGAGCGCACCGAATCCGGCTCTACCGGATCCACGACTGCCGCCTGCTTGGTCTTCTCGTCCACCAGCTGCGGTGAAGGACGGTAGACAAACCGGTAGAAAAAGGCCGGATGGTTGGTGGCGGAAACTTCGGTCGCAAGGGGATACTGCGAGGACGACCATGGCCTACACGGATCAGGTGTAAATCGAGCGAACGTCTACTCAAACTGCCGGCGTTGTAATAAAAGCATGGCTACACACCCAGCACAGTTCGAGTGTACGAATGCGAGTTCATGAACTGGCGCAAGAATAAGAGTGTCGACATATTAAAACGCTTCACCCGTGTAAATCACACATGACACTCATGAATGGTTTCCCCATTGCATATCCTCCCCTAAGCAAACAGACGAGTGCACACAACTGAATGTGGACGGTAGCGATGCGACAAATAGCGACGCAAATGTATGCATGCGGGGAGAAAGAGCTCCGTAGTCGCTCAACAAAACGCGAAGGCATCTCCACTGGTTGCGCAGGAGCCACCACAGCTTGCGGGGTTCACACAAGATGGCAGCACTGACCAGGTACATGTAGTTGTCCTGCAGCGCTGGTATGATGCGCACCCGCATGTCTGTCTGACTGACGGTCCTTGGCTGACTGTGAAACTGACGGCGAAAACCCAACGCGGAAATCTTCTGAACTGGGGAACGAGCGTGCTGTCAAATATGGGCAAAGCTACGGAAAGAAAATCGGACATGGCACACAGGCCGAAGATGAGAGAGGAGGTCGCAGGTGTGGGATAGAAGTTTATTATTGAATAATTTATGACACGATTTGTGTCTTTTAACTTTCTTGTCTGCCATCAACCATATACGCAATATCCCAATCAGCCAGTCTCTAACCAAGAAGCAGCAACCAAAACGTGCTGCAAAACAGCCAGTATTGTATGTGGTTAACAAGGACGCTTACTCTAGTGGCGTTTGTCCACATAAAACACTGCTTTTTTAGCATGACCAATGCAATTCCGTGGCGTGTAGGCTGAACGACCAAGTCCAGCATTCCCCGCCCCTAACCATCATGGGCAATGCAGTGTTCTGGCGACCCCAGCCGATGTTCTGGCGGACAGCCGCCGTTCAGTCACGACAGGCACCCGCCACATGGCACGTGAGCTCACCTCTCCCACCCTGATATCACGCTCATAGGCCCCCATGCCCTGTCGCCTGCGCTCTATCACGCGGGGTCATCCAGCAGGTAATCCAGCAGACATACAGTGGCGGGATACAGGTGGATGTATGCAGGTGTCGGTACACAGGTGAGGATGGGTGGAGGGGGGGGGGGGGGGGGGGGCTGAGCAAGATACTGTAAGACGAGTCCGGCAGACGGCAGAGGCACGGAGCGGGAGAAGCGCCAGACGTGGAGTGAAGCAATGTGCGATCTGCCACAATTCAGGGGAACACCAAGAGCATAGAAAGCACATGGTATGAGTACCCATTAATGATCAGATGTCAATATCAAAAACTGGTATGGCACTTTTAACAGTTCAAAAACATGACACTCTTGGCCGTCTTTCATCCCCTCATTGCCCCACACTAAGACTTAGCAGGCGTGATTGGCCACAACAACCAGACCTACCAAAACACCGACAATGTCTCCAAGTTCCGACGATTATTACATACATCTCGCCATCTTGACAACCAAGCCAGACTGTACACTCTGGATGTTCGCAGAAGCCGCGAAAATGCAAAATTAGACACAAGAACCTTATTTACCATTGACCGAGTTACTTTGTTAGTGGAAACACGTGAGTGCCAGACAGACAGAATTTCAGACTTCTGAAGTGGGATGTCTGTGGTGAGACAAGCGCTTAATGAGCGTTTGATGCACATACCCTTGAAATAGATGGCTGTTATTCCCTGGGAGACCCAGTCAGGCACATGAGCGAAAATTCGCATGGCCAAATTCTCCATCTAAAACGAGAAACAGCTTAGAACAACTCATCATCGAAAAGTGATAACATTTTATGAAAGTATCCAAACTTCGGAATGGCTAACTTCTTATGGTTCACACACACTGAAAAGCAGATACCGTCTATGCAGTCAGAGTTGTGCTGACCTAAAGTCAGAGTCAATACCAGTATTAGCCAACATTTTTAAATATAGGCATGGGTGGCTGGTCAGACACCCTTTGCTTGGGTGGGGCTCAATTTGGCCCTGCTGAGATCTCAGGAACTGATGGCTAGACACCAAACCCACAGGGTGTGTTTGTCTGTAAGTGAACTCAACTAGGTCAAATTTTGAGGATTCTGGGCATGATCTTCCAGTCAACAAACTCCAGGTTGGTCCCCAAAGTGTACCCAGAACCTAGACGTGTTCTGAGCAAAGGTCACATGATCATTTAAGGTCAGTGACCTTGTTTGACATTTCAAGGGTCATGGTGACCAAAATCATACAAGACTGCTGCAATATGTTCCCCACAACAAAATGCTGACCAGGATCATATAAGGTCAGTGACCTGCTCTGATCTTCAAGAAGCCCATGGAAGATGTCTTATGCAGTTCCTGTTACCAATAAATTTAAAATGAGCATCAGAAAGCACCCCATACAGCAAGCCCCAGAGTAAAAAAACAGGTTGGTTTTGACCCTGGTCTGACCTCCACACCTGACCCTAGGTCTATGGAATTTTATCATCCAATTGTCATGTCACCTGAGGAAGTATCTCAGAGATGTGTGGCTTTGCCTAACACTCCAAGTTCCATCAGATTGAACAAGACTCCTAGAAATTGGCTTTGCTGAATCCATGGCCTGACTTTAACCTGCCACAGGTCAGCAAACTTACAAGGGACATCTCATTTTTTGGTATCACACAATTTGTTATTTAACTGTCTCCAAATATGCAAAATTTGGTGCTGCTGTGGCTGTGCCATGCCATTTGAAAGCCATCACAGAAAAATCAGGAGGGTTAACTTGACCCACCCCCCCAGCATGTCTTAAGTCACTGCAGAATCTGGACCTCTACACATCATAGTGAGTCAGAATGAGGATGCACACATTCTCAGTTAGATCAACAATGAGTTGACAGGAACATCGTGATAGTCACAATTCAAGGTACCATTCTGAAAGTTTTTATGGGCATCAAAGAGGGCAACAAACATATGTGTTTAGACCTCAGCAAAACACATGCTGTCATCAGCACAAGAACCTAATATCAATGTAAGGTGTCATAGTCCGGGGGAACACAATCCTAGCCCGCCAACCAGCAGCCTGTGTACCAGCCTGGAACCATGTGCATCCAGGTCCAGGGTCACTGCACCTCACAACACTGTGTGGTAGAACATCCTCCACTCAGTGGATTGTCTTTCTAAAATGCAAGAAGTATGCTTCCCAATCTAGAAGAAAGCAGAAAGTAATAACTAGGCATGCAAAGGCTCAAAGGTGCAAATGCATTCAACTTAAGTCATCATGTGTTCAAACCTCTAGATCATGGTTATTTATTCCAGATAGATGGAATCAGAAATGTATGAGTCACAAGGCCATTCCATATACTGAATACCTCAATATAAGGTGCAGGACATGCCCTATGGCACAGCCCAAAGCAGAGGCAGCCCATGCCAACCATTCAAACACATATCAATGTGATGGTTAATGTGATGTGTGATATCCCAACAAGAACCATTAGAATAATGCCTGGGTTTAAGCCACTTGGGGGAAGGGACTAAAAAAACTGGTTAACCACCATTCAGCTGACACTGTCATCCTATCTAATGTATTCTATCTCTTACATTTCAACCTGAGTGGTGCAAGAGCATAGAAATAATTATGATGGATCAATATTTATAACCTGGTTGCAGCCTAGCTATATCTGCCAGCCAACAGTGAAGCAAGCTGGCCCAACTCCATGGCTATGCTCCAAAATGCATGCAATATGCATGTTTGACATAATTAATAGTGGGTAGCAGTATTTATAGGCACCTGCCGGTTCAGGAACCCACAGAGGCATTTATGCAATCATGAGGAGAGCCAGTCATTTGAGTTTTTACAGAATGAACCAATGCTCATCTGAATTGTGGCCCACACTCATGTCTCATGCCTGTTAACTGTGGCAGAATAGTTATGAACAAAAAGGAGGCAGAGCAGAGAAATAAAAGAAAACATATCCCAAAATAGACAAATGTCTTGTCTCCTAATAAGGCCGACATTCCTCTCGAATGTTGGTTATGGACGATGCGCAATCCAGTACAAATGCGCTATTTTCTTGCTACATAACTCTCGGATTTTTAGCAGCGGTAAGCACTACCAGTTATGAATATCCACATTTCAACAAACACTCCAACAGAAAAACAGATGTGCTTACATTGCTTCAGTGTGGTTCTTATCATCACCACACGCCTGACCCTACACTGCCCCTAATCCCTCCCGCCGGCCTCTGGCTATCGCAAGCGTGTTTGTTCCGGAGCAGGTAAAAACGCCACTGGTGAAGACAACATGCTGCAAAGATGCCAAATAATAGAAGTTTTCTCGCTGGGCTGCTAGTCCGCGAAATATCAAACGAAACATTAACCGTATACATCATCCGCCGCTACCTAAGCCAGCATATCAAGCAGGGACCTATGTGGGCCGAGATGCCGACAGTCATTTGGGGCCCATCGGGACTGTCCGCTTCGGTCCCATGTGAGCAAGTCATAGGCAACTAACTGGGTCCCACAAGCGTTCTATCGCCCTGGGTCCCACATGCGCAGCCCGCCTGGGCCCATATGCAGCCAAACTGGAATCCTCGTGGGGCCCACCTGGGCTGCCCAGTGGGGACCCACTTTGGTCCCATGTGCGCAATGGGCATGTCATGGGCAATCAACTGGATCACTTTCCCTCCACAACGAAGGGGTCCTTCCGATCTCATGGGAGGAACCTGATATCAATGTGGAGGACTCCGGACCGGCGACAGTGAGCCCGCCGATCATCGTGTACGCCACCGTCAACAGGATAGGTCTTCCGAAAAATGGAAAACCCAAGACCAATAGGGACGGCACCTGAGCGAGCGAGGGTGCCGCGGCAGGCCAACAAAGAGGCTCCCGTCAGCAGCGTACGACCAAGCGAGAAGAACCCAGCACCTATGTGGTGGGTCCCTGAACGATCAGGAGTGCCCCGGCAGGTTGAGATATTGGACTCCGCCAGCGCACACGGTCCCCCAAGCATTCGGGGAGAGCCCAATATTTATGTGCGGGGTCCCTAAGCGACCGAGTGTCTTGGCAGATAAACGTATATGGCCCCGATAACAGAGAACGGTCATTCGAACAGATAGGAAGCCCTCATGGTCAATGTGACGGGTCCCTGCGCGATCAAGTGCCCGGGCAGAGAACAGAAAAGACTCCGACAAGAGTGTAGGGTTCTCTGCAATAGCAGCAATTGGACAGCGCCCCAGACCAATGAAGAGGGCCCCTGAGCAATGAGCGGCTCAGTAAGTTAACTTACGCGATCACAAGTAAGAAAACAGGATTCTCTGAGCAAGTGGAAGGAACCTTAGACCAATGTGGAGGGTCCATGAGCAGCCGGGTGTGCCCCTGCAGGTTAGCATACGCGCCCCCGGCAAAAGCTTTTGAGGTCTTTAGCATGGAATGTAAAAAGTCCATGGAGGGCCCCTGATCAGTGAACAGTGCCCGGACAGGCTAGCATGTAAGGCTTCGACAATAGCGTAGGGCCTTCCGACGGTGACAGGTGATAGGCGCCACGCGGACGCGATAGGCAAACCGCAGTGGCTGGGGTCACGCCAGCTGATATCGCCGTTAGGTAGTACGACCTTGACCTTGAACTTGACCGAGCGGCCGTCCGGGTGGTCGGTATCATAACAGTTCCCCAAAGACGATACGAACTTCGTCCTAAAATCATCGGAAGCACACTGCGACTGAAGCGGAAATCAACTGCGACAACGGAATACGCGCACAGAGACAGAGTTTATGCGTATAAAATCAGCGAGCGCAAACAAAATAGCGTACGATACGCACGCTTCTACGCGTAATTTAAAGTTCATGTGAGAGCGTAACTCCACATCACTCAAACAATGCGCATGTAAATCTGCGTTAAATGTTTTCACCCCAGCGCACGGCAAGGCGCCGCAGCCGTCATCATCGACGACCGCTGCGACGGAACGCTGGTGCCAGTGTACAAGTCCCTTGGGTCGACAGCTCTGAGTAGGGCAGTGGCGGTTCACGCTGGTGCTGGTCCCCACGGCAGCCTCGGGACAGGTTAGTTGGCGGGTCGCGCTGGCGCTGCTCCCCCATGACGGCCTCGGGACAGGGTAGTTGGCGTGTTGCGCTGGTGCTGGCCCCCACGGCAGCTTCTGGGCCAGGCAGTTGGCGGGTCGCGCTGGCGCTGCCACCCCCCCCCCCCCCCTAGGCAGCCTCGGGGCAAGGTAGTTGGCGGGTCGCGCTGCTGCTAACCCCCACGGCAGCTTCTGGACCAGGCAGCTAGCGGGTCGCGCTGGCGCTGGCCCCCACGGCAGCCTCGGGGCAGGGCAGTTGGCGGTCGCGCTGGTGCTGGCCCCCACGGCAGCCTCGGGGCAGGGCAGTTGGCGGTCGCGCTGGCGCTGGCCCCCCCACGGTAGCCTCGGGGCAGGGCAGTTGGCGGTCGCGCTGATGCTGGCCCCCACGGCAGCCTCGGGGCAGGGTAGCTGGCGGTCGCGCTGGCGCTGGCTCCCACGGCAGCTCCTGGGCTAAGCAGTTGGCGAGTCGCGCTGGCGCTGGCTCCCACGGCAGCTTCTGGGCTAGGCAGTTGGCGGGTCGCGCTGGTGCTGGCGGCCCCCTACCGCTTGTCAGCAGTGAAGAGCGAGGACACAGAACACGTCTGTTCCGTCAGTAGATCCGGCCACTTGGCATCTTTGCCAAGTGCCCTTTCCCCCCTTATGCTATTCATGGTCTAACTGTTGACATCAGTGACGCGTCAGCGGGTCGGAGTTGCAAAGAAAGAAGAAAAAACGAATGTGATTATGCAGGCAATGTGCTGGGCATCTTTCCCTGAAAAATAAGAAATAAAAAACCGTTTTGAAATGCCTCTGGTGTAAAAAAGATCACGAGGTCACGGGGTAGAAATGACTGCGAGTACTCACTTCCACTTGTAATCGATGCAGCAAATCATCCCCTTTCAAATGACGTCACGTTTTGATCAGATCTAGGCAGCCATTACACAGATAAAACATTTTGTCTGGTCCCATTTCCAGATTGCCCGAAATTTCCACGACCAGTATTTGGCATCACATGGAGCCTGGAATCCCAAGAATCGCTTCGGTGCGAGTTTGGTTGTGATATAGATGAGCACAGATGCCAAATTTCTTCCAAATCGGAGGGGTTATATTGAATAATCATGGGCCTCTCGTGGTGATTTGTCCTGGAATAGCTCCACACTGTGCAGAATACGGCCGATCGCCGTCTTGAAGCTCTTCTCGAGAGAAAATCGCGTGTTACCTCTTTAGTGTTAGCTAAGACTGCTTCCGGGTTGAGCATTTTCCTTTTTTTTGTATCCAGAGGGCCACGAATTCTACTTGCGGGGAGTGGGGGGGGGGGGGGGGTACAGAAGATCATATCTTCCTCTTTTTCCCTAAGCTTCGGTCATAGGGAGGGGAAACTTCTTCCACGCCTTGGCTGCCCAGCTCCGGTCGGATAACAGAAATGTCAAGGTAAGGCAAACGGCTCTTTGAATCAGTTTCAAATAAGCGATTGGTTCTCCCACACTTAGTTGCACACCATTTCTAATGATTGCGTTATGCGTTGAATGAGCTAACGACAATTCACCGATGCATGCCCGACTCATGAGTAAGCGGCCTGAATTATGTCCAGATCGTTTATCTTTCTAGACTGCGGGCCAGAAGACAGCTGAAAGGTCGGCTCACGCACGGACAGATGGGAACTCACATCAGTCGGCGGTCGGAAACTATGCTGCATAAGGCGGTCTCCCACGTTAATTCGACCTAGCTATCGTAGAAGTGATCTGTTGCAGCGTTTGGTGGTTCGGTACGGTTCTAGTGCCAGTGATATGCTGCAGTCTTATCGCAGTGTCAAGGCATATCGCCCATAGTGCGCCACGCCAGCCCACCACCACATCCCACCAATGAGGTGGCTAGTGTCGCGGTCGTCGAGGGCAACAGCGACACACTCCAGCCCGCCGGCGCCCCGGCTCGACCGCCGACCACCCACTCCACCCCGGCGGCGCACCGGCTCAACCCACGTCTACTCACTCCATCCCGGCTCGACCCCTGTCCACTCACTCCATCCCGGCTCGACCCATGTCCACACGCTCTATCCCGGCTCGACCCTTGTCCACTCACTCCATCCCGGCTCGACCCCTGTCCACACGCTCTATCCCGGCTCGACCCTGTCCACTCACTCCATCCCGGCTCGACCCCTGTCCACTCACTCTACCCCAGCCTTTCCGCGGCTGGCCATGCCGTCTGTCACCAGCTTCCTGCTGTGTCTGGTCGTGCTGTCCCGCCCGCTGGAGTGTGCGCTACTGAGGCGCCTCCCGCCGTCCTGGGCCGGCGCCGGCCTGCTGCAGACCGTCAGCGCCGGCAGTGCGTCGCAGTGCGCCATCCGGTGCGCGGCGCTGCCCGGCTGCCACGCCGTGACGTACGCGACGGCCTCCTCGTCGCGCGCGTGCCTCCTGCGCGGCTGCGGGCGGTCCTGGCTCCGTCACGGTGCCAGCTGTTACCGGGCGGTGCGGCGGCCGGTGCCCGGCCCGCAGGCCGATACGGCGTGCGGCCGGCTGTGGACGGGCGCTCACCTCACTTCAGTCCTCTCCGGCGACGAGCAGGCGTTCCTGAACACGTTGGCGGAAGGCATCTACACTATCTGGATCGGATTTCACCACCCGCCCGGAGAGTCGAGCGGCGTGTTCCACTGGCTGGACGGGAGCCCGGTGGGGTACACCAACTGGCTGGATGACGAGCCCCACGGCAGCGCGTCGGGCAGCCTCTTCGCCTATCTCGATGTGGGTAAAGGCTGGAGAGCGACTGGCACAGGCGATAAATATTACATTTGCAAGTATCTCATTTAGTCGCGTGTATGATCCACGAAAAGCCTTGCTCGCTGGCCTGCTTGCGGAAACATGTGACAAGTTATTTAGCCGTGCCTGAGCGTGGGTCTTGGCGGATCTGTTTGTTTCGAGCCGCCGTGGTTTTTCATCAAGCTGTAATGCTGTTTTGACCACCGATTGCCTGATTTGCGCACGCGGAAATACATTGTGATCTGCAGCAAATCAGTTTTTGTCTCGGATGCGGTCGGACAAAATCCACGGGATAATGGGATTAGGTAGTGTTAGTAGCATCTCACCGATTGCCGCTTGGCCACGCTAACCATGGCATCTCACCGACTGCCGTTCGACCACACTAGCCGTGGCGTCCAGCTCCCATGTAAGTAGCATCTCACCGATGGCCGTTCGGCCACACCAACCATGGCATCTCACCGACTGCCGCTCGGTC